CAGAGTGCACCAAAGGTGCCTTCCAGCCTCCAGACAGGACAAGAGGGTGGTGTGGAATTACAGGGGACCCGGGCTTGGCATCAAGAAGGGACATAGTAACGTGAAGTGAGGAGGCAACGGGAGTAGGGGAGACCTCATCCAGAGATTGTGATGCAGTGAGAGGAAGACTGTTCCTCCAGGGATGTTGGTTTGGGGACTGGGGTCATACCAGGCATTCTGCAGAGCCCAGAAGAGACACAAGGGTGTCACTGAGTCAGTGTCTACAGGAGTTTTGTTTCCTGTAAAGCAGCAGTAGTCTTAGGAGAACAGCCTTGACAGTTTAAATCGCCTCAATCTCCGTGGGAGGTAATATGTATACATATATATATATATATATATATTCTTTTTTTTTTTTTCCTGGGCTTCCTTAATTCCTCAATTCCATCTTCTTTCTGTTGCTCCCACTTTGGAGGGACTTTCATATGTGAGCACGTGTGGGGACAGCTTCTGCAGCCAGGGTGTGCAGGGGCTCGGATTGTTGCCAGTGTTCCCGTGTGGTCACTGGAGAGCGGGCACAGGAAGGAGAAGGGGCGCTTTCCACCCATCAAAGTGGTCTAACTTGAAAATAGCTCTTTCTTAAAATACGTAATTTTTATTTTGTTGTTGTTGAGAATGTATACAGCAAAACACAGGACACCAATTAGACAGTTTCTACATGTAGTAGTAACATTTAGTGACACTGATTACGTTCTTTTTTTAGTGTATATATATATTTAAATTTCTCATACAAAATTTATACACATACTGTTTTGTGGCGTTAGTTGCAGTCCCCACAATGTGACAGTGCACTCCCACATTCCACTCTGCGTTCCCTGTGTCCATTCAGCCAGTTATGGCCCTTCCTGCCTTCTCATCCTGCCTCCGGACAGGAGCCGCCCATTTGATCTTGTGTATCTGATTGAAGTAAGAAGCACACTCCTCACGTGTATTATTTTTTGTTTGATAGTCCTGTTTAATCTTTGTCTGAAGAGTGGGCTTTGGGAATGGTTTCAGTTCTGGGTTAGTAGAGCACCCAGGGGCCCCAGTTTTGGGGGTTCCTGCAGTCCCCGTCAGACCATTTGATTACTTTCTTTGAGTTGTGTGACCATTCTTACCCTCTTTCTCTGAATTGTTCCTCCCCCTCAGATAGTTCTTTAATGTGTTTCTTATTGTAAAATTTTATTACATTGTCTTTGCAAATAAAATCCTGAAAATATGGAAAATCATGGAAAAATAGAATTATGTGCTGAACAATTTGGTATGTCTTCTAGACTTTTGTCCTGTTTTCTCATACTTGATATATGCACTTAATATGCTCCTACAGTCACATCTTCACTTCCTTGCTCCTGCAGTCGCGTCTTCACTCTTACACGCTCCTACAGTCGCGTCTTCACTCTTAC